CCAACGCCCGAGGTCTTAGGCCTCTGGCCCCCGCAGGCGCCCCCAGCCCACCTCCTTCTCTTACCTGCCCTCAAGGGACCCACTGTTAGGTGTTTGTCATTTTAGTCTGAGGCCCGTTAGGAAGCAGAGCAAGGTGAGACTTGACCCAAACAGCACTGACCTTTGCTAAAGCCAAGCCAAGGGGACGAGCGTCCTGTATCTTCTGTGTGACACCCAGGAAGGCCAAATACAGAAAAGCCGAAGCACTTAAAGTCTGTGCAATGATTAAGGTTTAAAAAAGGAGCTTTCCTGACGCGCGGGCAAGCTCACCGAGCTGGCTGGTTGACGACGCCCAGGGCCCACTTCTCGCGCCGAGGGTTTGCAGATGCGAATCTCAGTGTCAGTAAACTCGCAGAATAACACACTCCGTGCCTTTCTCCTGCTCTCTCCCCGAGGTCGCGGCCCCCAGATCAGCATCATCTTCCTGGCGCTGGCGTTGACCCTGGTCGTGCTCCTGCTGGTCTTCCTCACGCTCAGGATCTCGGCCGTGGAGCAGGGCAGGAAGCAGCTGCTCTACCTGCTCAAGCAACGTAAGCCCGGCCGGGGGTGCCCTGCGCCCTGGGCAGGCCGCCCGGGGGGGAAGGCGCCGGCTCTTAGGGCCAGAGAAACCAGGCTGGTCTAGGCGTGGTTATCAGGCAGACAATTTTGCCCCCCAGGGACATTTGGCAACATCTGGGGACAGCTTGGGCTGTCCCTACCTGGGGATATGCGGTGGGGAGGGATGTTCTGGCATCTAGTGAGGGGTCAGCGAGGCTGCTAAACGCCCTGGGAGGCACAGGCCGTCCCCAGATGGCAATGGTGCCGAGGCAAAGAGAGCGGGCGGCGGCTGGACATAACCCAAGGGTTCTAGAAAATTGACAGCGTAGGTATGCGCGGTCTTGGATAACTCTGTGCGTGTGCGCGCACATGTGCGTGCATGTCCACCCGTGTGCAGCCCGTCAGCTGGGCACACGGGACACTGGCAANATGCATGTCCACCCGTGTGCGGCCCGTCAGCTGGGCACACGGGACACGGGCAGAGAAGATTCAGAAAATAACGTTTGCCCCATTGAGCCCCGCTCCCCGGGCTGGGTAATGACCTTAACCGGAGGCAGAGCGCACCCAGAGGGGGTCTGAGGAGGGTTTTACGACGTGGGTTATTAGGACAGCAATCTGGATTAAATGACAGGCTTTAATAATGGATTTCCTTGGCAAGAGTCAGCACTCACTCAATGGAAGCTCTTAGTCTTTATTCGAAAAAGTTTATAGATGGGGCAGCCTGCTTTTTGTCCTCATGGGGGACAGGCTGGACTCGCTAGGAGGGCCTGGTCCGTGGGCGGCAGGCTCCGAGAGCACGGCGCTGCGGCCCGAGACGGTAAAGTAGAGGAGGGACCGTCTCCGTCAAGTCTTACCTAAGGATGCACCACACGAATTTGTACAGAGAGTCTTTTGAAAACGATAGAAAGTCTCTCTACACCGTGCAATATAACATACAGGAAAAATGCATCCGTTTAAATAAAGTTTAACACATTGTTGAAAATGAGCACCTGCCCGGCCGAGAAATGAGGTTATCTGCCCCCCCAAAGCCCTGCCTGGCCTTCCACCAGCGCTAACCACATCTACAATTTAGCGTAGTCACTTCCTTGCTCTTATTTATAGTTCTGCTACCTAACAAGTTTAATTTGGCTGTCTGTGAACTTCACGCAAGTGAAATCACATGTGCCTATTGTGTGCTTTCTGTATCTGCCTTCCCTCATGCAACACTGTCGTGCAACACTGTATCACGCAACACTATACCATGCAACACTGTATCGTGCAACACTGTACCACGCAACACTGTATCACGCAACACTGTACCATGCAACACTGTATCACGCAACACTGTACCATGCAACACTGTACCATGCAACACTGTATCATGCAACACTACCATGCAACACTGTATCATGATCCGTCCATGTGTTGCATTTACCTTGGTTGATTTCTGTCATCCCACTCTCTTCTATTGAGTGACTCGCATCACTGTCTGTTGGTCCCTCTAATATTGATGGGCACTTGGGTTATTCCCAGTTTGGGGCCATCACAGACAACGGTGTTCCAATACTTCTGTCTACTACCTCAGTGCACAGAAGCATGTGTTTCTGTGGGTTTTTTAAAATTTTTATTTGTTTCTTAACCTAGAAATAAAATTGCTGGGTCCTTAGTAGATACACCAAACTGTTTTCCAGGATGGTAGGAGCCCACTTACACTGGCCCAGCAGTGTAGGAGAGTTCCTTGTGCTCCAATCCTTGCTAACACTTGGCGTTAATTTTTATCGGTCTGGTGGGTGGATAAAGATCTCATTGTGGTTTTAATTTGCATTTCCCTGATTTCTGGTGAGATGGGACTTTTTCATGTTATAGTGGCCATTTGGATTTCCTCTTTCGCCAGTGCCTGATAAAATCTTGGGAGCATTTTTCTATTGGGCCGCCTGTCGTTGTCTTATGAATGTACAGGAATCCTTTAGCCTGTTGTTCATGCACTGCGGATGCCTTTTTCCATTCTGTGGTTTGCTCGCTGTTTCTCTTTTTGAGGTCTAACCCTCTGACTTAAACCTCTAAGTTCTCACTGAAACCTCTCATATAAAGAACGAATCTCCCCACCTTCACCCAAACAGCAATAAAGTTTTTTCGAAAATGATTTTCAAAAGTATTTATGAGCAACGAGTGAGTTGCAATGGAACTGTATTCCATTGAACAAAATTAAGTCATTTTTAGAAACTTTCTATTTTGAAATAATTGTAGATTCACAGGAAGTTGCACACGAGACTTTTCTGCAGTGCCATTCATGGGGTTACATTGTATGTAACTGTAGCAGTGTCCAAACCAGGCAAGTGACGTTGGTGCAACCTGTGTGTATACCGGTTGGTTTCTCTGTGTTTGTTTTTTCATTCACCTGAGGATATGTTGTTGCTGAATTTTTTTTGAGAGAGAAACATCATCGGTGTGAGAGAGAAACACTGATCGGTTGCCTCCCGTACATGCCCCGGCTGGGTTTCGAACCCTCTACCTTTTTGGTGTACAGGGCGACCCTCCGGCCACCTGGCCAGGCTGTGTGTGTATAGTTGTCACCTTGTCACACGTGTAGATTGGTGTAACGCAGAACGACCCCGTGAGCAAAGACCTCCCTCCTGCTGGTCCTTCCCAGGTGCACCCGCACCCTCCCCCCCTCCCTCCCTGACCCCTGGCAGCCACGAGTCTGTGTCCCAGCTTTACAATTTTGTCTTTTCAAGAATGTCACAGAAATGGGATCCTATGATATATAAGCAGATCATGAGCATTTAACCTTTCGAGATGGGCGTTTTTCACTCAACCTAATGCCCCTGAGCTCCAGCCGGGTCCCTTCCCGCCATCTATCTTTCTGGGTCGCTGGCCGGTTCCAGTTGCTCCACCATCCACCTGTCGAGAGGTGGTTTCATTTTTGACTCTTGCATTCAAGGCTGCCAGGAATGGTTTTGTGCGGGTTTCATGGGGCCGTAAGTCTTCATGCCTCTGAGATGAATGCAGGAACGCTACTGCTAGTTGTGGGGGGAGCGCACGTTTCGTCTCCCGAGAGGCCAGCAAGCTCTTTCCCAGCGGGCCGCGCCGTCCAGCCACGCAGGGCAGTCTCTCCGCTCCCTCGTATGCTTTGCATCGCCCGGGTTCTGATCCCGGCTTTCTAACAGGCACATCGCGCAGGCTCCTTGTGGTCTTACTTAGCTTTTCCCTCTGGGTGGGACATCTTCCCACGAACTTGTTTGCCGCCTGCATAGCTTCTTTGGCGACGCGTTCCCTAGGGGATGCTCGCCCATTTTCCAGCTGGAACATTTCATCATTTGACTACAGGCACCCGAGCAATCTCTCCATCTCCTGGCCGCGGGCCCTCTTTCAGATAGGTGGTTTGTAAGTATTTTCTGTCTGGACTTGGCCTCTCCATTCTCTTCCCAGGGTCTTTTGCAGAGAAAAATACTTTAATCTTGATCAAGTCTGGTTTCCCTTCTCATTTCTGGAGTCAGTCTAAGAACGCTTCACCAAGGCCCAGGCCGCAAAGATTTCGGTTTCCTCCTGCGTTGTCCTCTGAGTTTACACTTAAACCTATGGTTCATTTTTGGTTAAGTTTTGCGTAAGGTGTGAGAGGTTTAGATGCAGGTTTTTTTGCCGTTTGGATGTCCAGGGACTCCAGCACCGTTTGTTGAAAACGTTATCCATCCTGCACCGAATGGCTTGGCCGGTGCCTGGGTCAGAACCAGCGGGCTGTACTTGTGTGGGGGCTGCTTCTGGTTTCTCGCCCATTCCCCTGATCAGCATGTTTATTCTCCAGCCAGCACCGTGCAGTCTAGATGACGGGCGCTATGAAATGTCTTAAAGTTGGGGAGAGGTTAGAGTGACCCCTCCCGCTTTATATTTCCTTTTCAAAATCGCTTTAGCTGTTCTAGTTCCTTTGCATCTCCTTGTAAATTCTTGGATAATCTCCTACATACGTACAAAAAGTCAGCTGGAATTCAGATAACAATTATGATAAACCCGTACATTGATTTGGGGAGAACTGACGCCTTCACTGTGTTAAATGGTCCCATCCATGAACATGGTATGCCTCTCTGTTTATTTTTATTTCCTTTGATTAATTTCGTCATCGTTTTACAGTTTTCAGCATGCGAGTCCTGCAGGTTTTGCTCAATTGAAGTCTTGGAATTTAATTTTTTTAAACTGTCAATGGTATTTATCCTAAATTTTGGTCTCCACATGTTCATCGCTAGTACGTAGGGATAAAATTGATGTGTGTAGGCTGATTTTGTATTCTGTGATTTTGCTCAACTCATCTGTTAGCTGCAGGAGTAGTTTGTAGATTTTCTGTATAGACCATAATGTCATCTGAAAATAGGGAAGCTTTATTTTTTCTCTATCTGTATGCTTTTTCTTTCTTTTTCTTGGCTTATGGTGCTGGCTGGGACTTCCAGGACCATGTTGGGTAAGAGTGGCACGTGAACACCGTTGCCTTGCTTGTAATTTTAGGGGGAGAGCATTCAATTTTCACCAGTGAGTATGATGTGAGCTGTAGGCTTTTAGTAGATCTCCTTTATCTCCTTTATCGAGCTGAGGAAGTTCCTCCTCTATTTCTAGTTCTGAGATTTTAAGAATCATGAACTAGTGCATCTTGTCACATGCTTTTCCTGCCATCAACTGATACGATCGTGTGACTTCCTCCTTTATCCTGTCAAGATGATGGTTTTACATAGACTCATTTTTTATTATTGAACCAGCATTGCATCCCTGGACTAAACTCCGCTTGCTCAGAGTATCTAATTCATTTCCTAAGTTGCCAAATTCTATTTGCTAATATCTTGTTAAGAATGTTTGGAGCTATATGTTCCTGAGGAATATTAATGTGTAGTTTTCTTTCCTAGTATTGTCTTTGTCTGGTTTGGGCATCAGAGTAACACTGGTTTCACAAAATAAGTTGGGACATGACACCTCACTGGTATTTCTCAGTGTCTTGCCAGTTTTCCCTAAGTTCTTAGAGATAGTGCAGTCATTGGGTTTTGGTTATTTTTTGTAAGTAACAAGCATGTAAATTTCAGGCAAGACCTTTTGCTTTGTCTGGCCACAGAAATACCCGCTTAGGATTAAAAGTTGCTCAGCAGTAACACAAACACTTTACACTAATATGTGAAAGAAAACCCGGCCGCTAGTGTAGAAGTCAGTTCTTTCCTTACTACGGATGGAAGAAGGGGGCGTATCCTTCACATCCTGATGCCACACATGACAAATTTTAGGCACTAGAGATTCATGCTCAAGGGTATTTTTAGCCATTGTATAAAATAAAAAATATTGTTTTTCAGGACCGATAAAAATATTTGGTAATAAGAAAAAAAATCTTAAATAATCCTGAGAAAAAAGTTCATACTTGCAATCATTACCTCTCTTGTTGATGAGTTGGCTTGAATTAGAGTGCAGAATGTTTGCTACTTAGAGATTTTGTTCCATGACTATGACTTCTAGAAAATGCATGTTAAGTTATTCAGACAGACAACCAAAGATAAGTGTCTTTGAAATTGCTTTTTAGCATTCATGAAGGCCGTACAAACTGCCCAGGAGGAAGACGGCTGCAGCTGCGGATTCCCAGAAGAGGAGGAGGGAGAGCCGTGTACACTATGACGGGAACCCCGAAGCTGCTGGGGCACTTTTGAGGGGAATCGAGGGAAGAATACGAGTGATCCCACGATATTTTCTTATACTGAAAAACACCATCCCAAATAATGCCCAGGATTACCCCCAACAAAGTCCGCCTTTAGAAATGTACCCCTTTCGACAGAACAAATGATGGGACCGAGCTGGTGGCAAAGGGACATTTTCTAGATAGTCCTTGACATGTTTGGGCTAGGTTTTTTGTTTTTTTTTTTTTAAATTCAAGAAGAATTATATTTTAAATTTAATGATGTAGATGCACGGTCCGTCTAATATCATTCAGGGGTGTGTGTGTGTGTGTGTGTGTGTGTGTTAATATGACAGCCATAAGATGCAGGAAATGTCCTCAACCAGGCTTTCCACTGGTTCTGTCATTTGTCACAGTGACCACCTCCACGGTCGGGGGAAAGGATGACAGGGCCCAAGTTTTTTGGAAAGCCTTCCAATGTCCCGGCATGGCCTGTGGTCCCTCCATCCTCACTTCTGCCTTGGTCCTACCCCTCTCTGAGACACAGCTTACATTTTATTTGTCTTAAAAATGTTAAAAATAATATTTTGTACACATCAACTAATAGATGAAACACAGTTGTGGACTGAAGACCCACGAGCCCAGCCGGAGAGCTGGAGCCGGGGCTGCTGAGCTCCCCTGGGCCGAACCTCAGACCCTCGCGGCTCAGAAGCTAAGAATAGTTTTTATGTGTCTTTTAAAATCAAAAGAAGGGGAGTGTCTCGTGACACGTAAAGCTGCAGGAGACTCAACTTCCCGAGTCTATAAATACAGTTTTCCTGGAATACTCAGCCAAACTTGCTATTTACTTACTGTGCAAGGAAGCCTTTGCATGACAACCGTGGAGTTGAACAGTTGTGACAGGGACTTTATGGCCCACAAAGCCTGAAACATTTAATATCTGACCCTTCCCAGGTCAAAGTCAAGGTCAGAGCACCCACCTATCTGCTGCTTCTCTCCCTCACCTTCTGCCTACCTTCCCAGCCCCCCCCAAGCAACCTGCCTCAGGAATGTTGGACCTATCGCCCTTGCTTAAAAAAAAATCATTTACTATATAATTATATACTCTAAGGTATTTTATTTGTGTTTTTGAGATTTCTGAAAGTGGCATTTCGCTGTGTGGAGACATCTGTGACTTGCTTTAACGGCTCAAAGTTATATTTATAAGACTCACTCATGTTGTGGTGTGCAGCTAGGCCTTCATTGCGATTGCTGTATAATTTTGCAAATAAAACTATAATTTATCGATCCACTTTCTACCAAAGGACATGTGGGTTGTTTCCAGGTCCTTGTAACTATGAATGATCCTGCTGTGAAGGCTCTTCTGCGTGTTTCCCGTGGAAGGGGGTGTCTAGGGACACGTCCTTAGAGCGAAATTTCTGGATATTTGGGCATATGAATGTCCAGCTTTGTGACCTGGTACCCACGGCAGTAAGGATATGCTACCTTATGCAGAAATAACAAAGGACCCCCCAAGCCTTGCGGATTATACGGCAGAGGCGCGCGTCTCGCAGCCCCCGGGCCCACCGCGGCCCCTGCGGCTCTGCCCGTTGCGCTCGGCGGTTTCGGCCGAGAGCGGCTCCTACTGGGGACCGGGCGCTCCTGGCAAAGGGGCACACTTCGCTCACACACGGTTGGCTAGATTCTGACTCTCGGAGGAAGTCACACGGCCCAGTTGGGCATCAATGGGGCAGGAGGTGTCGTCTTCGCACAGGGAGGGGCAGAAAATATCTCTGAACCGTGAAAAGGCTACTGTGGTGACAGACGCTTTTCAAAGCCGTCGCGCTAACTTATGCTCTTGTCGGCATGGACGTGTCCCAGGGACCCCCTCCTCGCCACCCTCTGGTATTATCGGACTCTTATGAATTTTGCCAATCCTGGTGGGTGTAAGAAGGCGCCTCCCCGGGGTCTTATTTTGCGTTTCCTTGATTACTAATGAGCATCTTACGATTAAAGTCCGGTTATGCCGTTTGTGTTTCTTTTTGTGAAATGCTTGTGTATGNCCTCCCCGGGGTCTTATTTTGCGTTTCCTTGATTACTAATGAGCATCTTATGATTAAAGTCCGGTTATGCCGTTTGTGTTTCTTTTTATGAAATGCTTGCGTATGTTTTTTTGCTCATATTTTGAACTCCTTTGTCTCTCTCTTATTGATTCCTAAAAGCTCTTTATATATTCTAGCTAATAACCAATTGGTCACATATACGTGTTATCAACACCTGCTTTGTTTGTAATTGTTTCTTTCTCTTTTTAATTGTATCTTTCTGGCAATAAGATAGAAAGTTCTTAATTTGGTTAAATTTACAGCTCATTTCTTAAATGGTTACAATTTTTTTGTTTCCTATTTCAAGAAACCCTTCCCGGCCCCAATATCCTAAAGATATTTTTTCACCTTTTATTCTAGAAGAGTTAAGTTCCGTCTTTTGTATTTAAGTCTGACCTATCAGGAATGATTTTTGTATATGGTGGGAGGAAATGATCCAATTTTGGACACCCATCGTCCAGGCCCATTTGCCCAGTGGTCCCTCTTCCCCACGGCTCTGCCCTGCCCCGTCCATCGTCCAGTTTCCACATCCCCCAGGGGCGGTTTCTGTTCCTTTGGCGCCTTTGCACTGTCCTTGTTTCGGCAGCTTTAGACTAGCTCTTGATATCTGGCAGCACAGGCCTGTCATTCCCCCCCTTTTCATTGAACGCATTGGGGTGACACCGGTTAACAAAACTGCACAGGTTTCAGGGGATCCCACAGCGGGCCATCTGCACGCTGCCCCCGTCAAGCCTCCTCCCTCACCGCGGCCTCCTCTGTACCCTCCGGCATCGTCCCCTCGGGGTGAACCCTCAGCGTCGTTCCCAGAGAATCCCCTCCCGGGAGAAAGTCAGTGAAACAGCAGGTGCCCCCCCCCTTCTTTCAAGAAGGTCTTTTCTTACGCTTTGGCGCACGGTTGGCTGTGTTCGGAAAACACATTGGTTTCCAGAGAAATAAAGTGCCTTCACCTGGACTTTAACCCTGCGCACCTGGGGCTCCGGCAAGGCCACACCGTCGGGGGCACGGTCGCCCTAACACAGGAGGCGGGGCAGAGGTTAGGGGGTTGGCGGGGCCACTTCAAGAACAGCGCTGGGCGCACCCCCCCCCTTCCAAATCACGACACTACACCTGGCGTTTAACTCTCGGCCGGGCTCCAGCCACACACTCAAAAGGCAACGCCTGGGCCCCGCGCCTCCTGCTCCACCACGGGCCGCGGGCCGTTCCTCCGGCGGGGCCGGCACAGCCACAGTCATAAGTGAAAAACAGGAATTCCGAGTCTGAGTCATGCTTCCCCCTAAATGACAGTTAACAGAGAAAGACACGCAGGGTGGAGTCCGACGGTCCTCTGCGGGGTTAGCCCGGGAAACCCGGTCACGGGGCTTCCTCGAAACGAATGCCCATTTCTGGGGCCGAACTCAAGGAGCGCCCCTGGGGGTGGGCTCGCTGGGGACGGTCCTCTGGCCGCTTCCAAACAAGCGCAGGCCACGTCTGAGGCCGATTGTGATTTTCTTGGGGGTGGAAGGTGTCACTCTCGCGGAAACTTTTGATATGAGGGGCGCTGGCTACTAAAGTGGGTGACTTCCTCCCCTGCAGGGCAGATCTTTCCACCTGTGGGTGGGGGCGCCGGGCGGGCGCTCGGCGGGCCGGTGTGGTCGGTGTGGCGGGGCTGGGAGAGCGATGTTATCTGTGTTTTCAAAAAGGGCTCTAGAATAACACAAGCCTGTCCTTTCTCACACACACACACACAAAGTAAGAAAAATAAGCTTATTTAAAAAAAAACGTTATAACACGATTGCGGCGTCGAGTCGTCAGGCTAGTGATGGAATAAGGCGCGTCCTTGGTGAGCCCTGGACACAGCGCGAGCGCCGAGACGCAGGCAAGGTTCAGAGTCCGGGATTTCTTTTGCTCCCAACAACTGACTTACGAGTCACCTAAAAATGAATCCTGCTTTTTAAATTCTCACCCAAGGATATTTTTCCCATTGATTTTTAGAGTGAAAGGGAGGGAGGGAGGGGGGGGGACCGTTGATGTGAGACACACGGCTGGTTGCCTCCTGCGTGGGCTCCAACCAGGCTGGGACCGAACCTGCAACCCAGGCACCGGCCCTTGACGGGGAACCAAACGCGAGGCCCTTCTGTGCAAAGGCGGACACTCCAACCACTGCGCCACACTGGCCACGGCGAAATGAATCCCGCCTTGATATCGGCATCGAGTCCAACAGCTGTTTTTCAAATTGTCCCTGAACCTTCAAACGCGTCTGTTACTAAGTCACCAAAGAGGCACATTCTGAGGACCCGCTGCGGGCGTGACTCTGATACACCAAGGACCCTTCAGGGCGCGGGGCGTGGGGCGCGGGACACCGGACACCCGGCAAGGACGCGGAGGCACAGGACCCGCAGCCTCGGAGGGCCTGGAGTCCAGGGGACCCGAGGAGCACCACCTGAGGAGACACACGGGTAGTGGGACTCACTGGGCGCCAGGAGCCGACTGCGCGGCCCTCCTGGGGTCCGGGGCAGGTGGGGAGAGCTGTGCCTGCGAGCTGGGCGGGGTGCGCACCCCGGGGGAGCCAGGGCCTCCTGGGGGTGCGCAGGAGACAGGTTTCGGGCTGTGTGTTTCCCAGGAGCCAGGGGCCCAGGAAAACCGGAGGGAAGGTCCTGGGGGGCTGGGGTGGAGGGGAGATAAGGACCCTGCGGGGTCGGCAGGGCCCAGGCACCCAGCTTTTATAAGCTTTGCCAAAAAGCTCGCATTTTAAACTACAGACTCTGCTGGGGGAGCCAGGGGAGGGATCTGACTGGGTCTGGGGATTAGGACCCTCTCCCTGACTACACGGGGAGAAGGGACGAGAGAGACTGGGCTCCTCCAGGCCAGGGGCTGATGGGGTGGGGCCCTGGCTCTGTGGTCGGCAGTTAGAGGTGAGCAGAGCAAGGAGATGGGCCAGGTAC